ATATATTTTTTTTTTTTCGTTTTTAGTTATGAGCATACAAAGCATTTTTTGAAAAAGTGTTAACAATAAGCTTTTGCAAAAATAAGTTTCTGCTCTGCAGTTGTCCGACAAGCCGCTTGACGGACAAGCCCATTTTCACGCGAAACGAGAGAGGATACCTCGCGGATTGCGTCAACTTGAACTTAGTATTTAGGTCAAACGAATATCTGGTGAGATCACCATATGAGTCCTTTCATCATGTATTGCTATACAGAATGAATTCCTCCACACTAAGAACTTTGATCATCTTATGTTGCATTAGGTGATTTAGGAATGCTCGCCGCATTTTTCCATAGTGAAATGAATAGACCCCCTAAAAGCTTTCTCATCCAGACTGGACGACAGTTTCGAAATATTCTTGATCTCATGAACACCTATAGCGAGACTCGAAATCAGATTACGAGGGAACCAAGATAATGGGTTAAACCTTTATCACACAGACATTCATGCGTAGGACATCTCTCGATTTGCACTAATGGCAAGAATATCCCTTTTGGCAAAGTTGTATTTGACATTTCAATTGATCACGCTACTAGAAACCAAAAGAGTAGGTTTAAAGTCTGCTATTTTATTTAAGTAGAAACATTAGCTATATTAGGTCGCATTGATTAATGTTGGTGAAATTGTGAGGCTGTCCATTTCATTTTGACAAAAATCATCTTTCAATCATACACCAACTTTTGCAATAAAGTAAGAAAACTAAATTTGACTTAAATGTGGTTTCCACATTGCTTCAATTTAAGTAAGTTTCGAGCCATAGCAATTCTTGGATAAGAGCCTAAGGGCTCTAAGTTGCTTAAGGTGATTTAATGACTGATGGACGAGTTTTCCCGACAATGTAATGATGAGCCTTAGGCGAAATCAAAACTGAAGCTCATCCTGATCGAGATAAATTTTAAGGAACAAAACTAAGTCCAATTTGTTGCTATCGTTAGGCCTACTCCTATCCTTATGGCAAAACTAACTTATCAATCTCTAACTCATCTTAGGCCAAGTAGGTAGTCAAAGTTCTTATTCAAGAATTACTGGAAGTTTGATAAACTACTTATATAAAAAATAAGTAACATCACGATTGAAATTGAAAACACAAATTTGCCTTATCAAAAATCTTACTATTAATGTGAGTCTGGAGAGGCATGCCTTGAATTGACTATCGCATTTGCCCTTGGACACACTGGCACCTCTGGCCATGTAGTGGGGTGGAATGGTAACATCACAATAATACTTACAACCATGTATCGAATCCAACTGGGGGCGCTGATGATGCCTAGGAGAGGTCTAAACCGCAGACGACTCTAGATAGAATGGCTTTTGGAAGTCAATACTGAGTAAAATCAATTGGTATCTTGAGGACTATTAGTTACATTGTGGAAAAACTCAGCTGTCCATCTCTTAATCACCTTAAGTGGGTTAAGGTTTCAAAATATCTTTTTCAGTACGAATATTTAATTGTACTTGAGTTTTGTTAAAAGTTACTGAGGGATGCCTCGTCCTAGCTGAGCCGACTGCTCAAAGCAATCCTATTCTAGCTGTGGACCTCGGTAGGTCGAAATTGCGAAATAAAAAACTATTACCTCTTGCTTTTGCAGGGCTTTAGATATGCCTAGAGAGGACTTGATTGTGAAGCTGGGTCGTAAGAATATGTTAACAGGATCCTAACCTACTTTCTCTCAACCATGGAGTTTTATGGACAGAAGTTTAATTAAAAGGTCTCTTTAATTAACTCAAATCTCAACTTAATTATTTTACAAGCATTATATCGGTTTTGCCCGAATAATTATTTGCCTGACTCCGAAAATATTTGATTAAGCAATTTGTTTAAGTGATTTACTTGCGTGCACTTTGTGGTGAATTGAGAATATATAATTCGAAAAATGTTGGTCTTAAATCCATCTATTTGTGATTAGGGGAAGTGTGTCAATGAATAAAATGCAACGCTGCAAGATGCAAATGAAAAATATTAGTTTCGAATCAAGACAAATAAAAATAAAAAACCCAATAAAAGTTTCTGGCTCTGAAAAGAAGTAAAGCTAAAAATCACCTGAAAATTATGGGCTGTAGAATGGGATAATATACGAATATCTGGTACGAAAATTAAAAAGGAATATAACAGCATCTACTTACTTGGTGTGACCTTGTCGGGCTTAGTCGTCTGCTTAGGAGTGGTAGGCTCCATCTGGCCGTCTGGCTTCTGCCTTCTAGGCACCAGATTGAAGTAATCTGAGGAGATAAGTCGTGATTTCGTCTGATCTGGTTGTCCATCCGGCCCTGATACAATATGGCTAAGTAAACAACGGCCCTGGAACCTGTTTTGATTCAGAAATCGTACCAAAGACTCAAAGTTCTTTTCCTCGTTCACCTGATCATCTTCTACCTCGCCATTAGCATAGATCTCGGCAAAATTGTGTGAATTTGTCAATGTAATATTGCTTGTAGGAAGTCCTTCTTGGCTTACTGTCTGCTCTCCTTCAATGGACGAGAAGAGACTGCCGAGATTCACAGGGCGACCAAAAGCATCCACTATCTGCCAGGAAAATAGGCTGCTAGAGGAAAGAGTAATCGGCTCACCAGACTCATCTGGACCGGTTAGAAATCAGAAAAAGCAATTGTTCATTAATTGCATGGGTACATAAACAATAATGAATACAATGTTAAGCTAAGTTTTGTGAAAGATAGGAGCAGAGGCTCAGGAATAGTTTTGTCAATCTAGCCTGGAAGATTAAGGAAAGCATGATCGACAGATGGCAGACCTTTTTATAACAACTAGATTTCTAAACTCTTACCCAGAGGAGTTATCTACTTGTTAAAACTGGATTATTCAATGTAAACTTTTGAAGTTATACTGATAAATAAGTTTGTGCCATGTATTTCTCCAAAGAAATTGGCCGAATTTGAAGAATAAAGACGTACCGTTTCATCTGACTATATCAGGGATCTAAGCGAATCAAATTGCTGACGAAAAAGAGCTCTTTTCACATTTATCTATCCACCCAATGAATCGTTTTCTTGTCTAACTAAATATTTCATTCCTCCTTCCGATGACACCTACCTGTAATAACCGAATATAAATGTGTAAAAGGATGGAAGTTTATACAAACTTATAAGTTAGTCTATAGCTAGGCTTTATTTACAAAAGTCTCCAATAGAAATGTGATCATTTTTGCTTCCTTGATTGCCCTGCAGAGGATAAAAGTATGTCCATTTTAAGAAAAATATTCCATTTCGGATTATATTGGAATCGCTGTTTATAATGAGACTCGAACAAAGATGCAGTCTATTCTTGATTAAACAGCCTTCTATGAATAAAAAGCATATAAAAATTTAGAGGCGAAGCGAAACGTTCTCTTCATTCAAGCGAAGGCATTTCAATTTGCCTTGCTTGAATAAGCAAAGCAGGAGTAAAGTAAACTTATTTTTACAAATTATTTAAAAAACAATATGCTTGTTTTAATTTTTCAACTCTTAATTCGACTAAACACGCTTTCCCTAAAAAAGTAAATTCTAGATGCGGCTTAAATTACTTACAGTTGATTCTCGATCATAGTTATAGTAAAAAAATGAATTATTATTGATGCCTGAAATGCCTGCTTTAACGTTACTTCCGTATCTCTCTTATTCTTCCAATAGTCATGCATACTCAAAAATATTACTTAGTCTAGGGTTGTAGATGGTTGCTCGTAGCATTCACTAAAATTCACTTGTAAATTAGCTTCAATTTCTTTTCGACAGCCTTCTATTCTTCAAATGTTTTCTTAAGGCTGCACTAAAAGAATTGTATTTTGATGGCTCCATTTGAGCATCGAACGGGAAGACTTCCATAAACATTACATACTAAAAGTGATTTCTTGGCCTAGTCCTGTTATCAGATAGATTCTTTGGGAATAAAGATCTATCCTATCCAATGCCAGCATCTTTAAAGGATGAACGAAAAAGAAAGAAAAACAATAATGACCATTGCAAAACAAGATAGTGCATAAAAGATTCATATTCCATGTAGAATATTTAAAGGTTAACTTTAGACCATTAAAATTAAGGAAATATTCACATTTAAGTAAAATTCATTTGCGTAGTAAATGACGAGGAATGTAACTTTAGGAACTAAGATATGCACCAGGAAAGTGGCCAGTAACAAAATTGAAGTACTTAGGCATTAGTATGAATAAAGAGGGAATTGGTGGGATAGTATAAATTTACTGATTTCAAATTTTACCTGTGGCAGTGCATCTTAGATTGAGCCGCTTTCCAGGTACGATTTCAGCATCCCCAATTTCATTCAGCCCACTGACGATTAGTTTTAGTTGTGGGCCTAAAATCATAATTGATTTAAGAGGAGTTAATAGGCACATATCTCTACCAGCTTAACTGTGGCCTTTTATAACAATTAATAAAAAGCATATGAACAAAATTGTCAGTAGGATTTACAGATATAATTAAACAAAACGGTCACGAAACATTTGGTAGGTTAGGATATAGTAGAGGCAACAAAAGGAATGAGAATAGAGACACGTAATGCTCTTATATTCTTCATCAATTATGTCATCAGATTGAAGTACTAAACTTAATATCAGGTATTTAATCCCACGGACGGATGAAGCTAACTACATTGGTCATCCGAATGCATATACTGGGATCTGAAGTCATCGTAGAGTCTGTCATCAAAGAGGAAGGTAAAAGTTGAAGTCCTGGTTTCGTGACAGTTCTGAACCCCATCCGATCCCTTCCAGAGAAGATTGATGACCCGATTCTGCCAAGATACTAGTTATTTTTAACTTTGCAATATAAAGCATCTTGAGATTTGGACATTTCGGGACAATCGGTGACTGGAATAGACTATATATATGTCGGGGTAAGGGTATGTGAATTAATGGAGAAAGTGCTCTTTGCTTGTTTGAGAACAAATGCTGGTGTTTTTTGGGCCTAACTAAAGTTCGCCCTAGATTTAATTGTTCACAATATTACGGTAAGTGTGCATTTAGTTTACTTGGAAGCTAGACATACTTGGCAATTAACTGGCTGGGCTTCACTGCAGTAACTTCATCAGAGATTGTACCACCAGTGAGAACTTCGTTAAACCGATGAAACCGACTCTTTCCCATTCGAAATTCGTATAGACTTAGCAAATCCTATTCATTCCAACAGGTTTCACCTTGTGTGTTATTTTGTATATTTATTCGCGTTATTCTATCAGTACATGTGAAAATAAGACTATAGTAATACGAGGACAGCTCGATACCCATCATTACTCAAGTCACTCTAATGTTGGCTGGCATTTTAGTTAGCCTAGAAAACGAAGTACTTGTTCATTTAGAGCTGGGCAAGTAATGGAATCCATTCAGCGGCAGTACGTGTCTGCGAAATGTTGATTATAAAGACCAGATTCCCCATGTAATGATTGCTCCTGTTAGCTTCCTAGTTCAATTTCATTATTCCTCTTATTCAGAGAATGGAATCAGATTAAATCTTTGTTGAAGACACTTGTATAATTGATTTTCATTTATTCTCCTCTTAGTCACCCCTTTTTGCATAGTTTATTTTTTTTCTTAATAGTGGTTCATTGAACAGCATAGGTACAATATTAAGTTGTACCAGGCATCTTTGCTTACTATCATGCGTAATTCAAAACGTTTTTAAAATATTATGAGTAAATTCGTAAAGCCACATATTTAATATATGCTATACTCAAGTTTCATATAAAAATCACATGATTCAGCACACCTCTGAGCGCAATGGATCAAGCAAGGCTTTAAAGTTGATGTAGAGGCAAGAAGGTAAGAGAAAGATAAGCATACATGTGCCATTATCAAAGTTAGATAAATATATGACTAAATAGAAAGACAAATTAATGAATTAATATAATTTTGAAGTAAATAGATAGATCTACAAATAAATATACGTCAACAGATAGCAGGACATACTAAACATATAAAGTTACAAATCGTGATTTAGGTTCAAAATATGCATATATCTAAACTAGTGGTGACGAACAGTGTTAAATATATTTATTAAATTAATTAGTTAAAAGAGGATAACAGTTTATGGTACTTAACTTTGCTCATGTAACATTAGTTAAATCGGCAGTTAAAAGATTTAGTAGACATGTAGAATTGAATATATGTAGCACGCTTCTCAGTTTGTTCTAGTCAAAATTCATGTCAGTTCGTTATCACCTCACAGTGTTCAGTCAGTAACTATCAGCTGTGAGCCTAAGCTATTCGATATCGTCAGGTATTCATAGGTTGGCCACATCATATAAATCTTAGCAGATAAGCTCAGGTAATAGTATACCTGTTGTCTGGTTTATAAAAATGATTTTATCTCAAAATCGCAGTGTAGTCTTATTGATTTGATGGTCTCAGAAAGTTGCTTAGCAGTGATTTCATTTCCTGTGATGTTTGTTTATTCTTTATGAATTCCACATCGACGTACGTAAAATCAAGCATGTTTTTTAAGTTCTCAGTTATTGTCCCGTCAAGGTCTAACTTTGTTATATACCTGATGGTGCAGTCGGAATAGTCTCCATCTGGCTGACGGCATCTAGGATCCTGACCGGAATGTATTTGGTGCTGTAACGTCTTGGCTTCCGTAATCTCTTGAAACCATCCACTTCCGCCGTCTCGACGGGCATTACGGATGCCTCCTGCTTGCTCATCATCACTTCTTCTACCGGAGCCTCTTCGTCGCTCTTTTGTCTTTCTGTCTCGGCCTCATCTGACCACATTTTTAATTCCACCTTCTTTGTCAGTTCCAAAGTGGTGGACATGGAAGTGATCGAGTCTCCGCCTTCCACGGGTTCTGGAGTATCCACAATTGCAGTCAGTCGTACGCGAAGCTTGCCTGCAGGGCTGGTTGGTTTCTTGACGTTCTTTAGCCGAAGAACACCTTCCATAGGTGAGAACTCAACAAATTCAGCAAGCTGCATCAAATCAGCGGCATTGCCGTTCATGGTGGTCACTTCAAAGCCATACACGAGTAGTCGGGGCTCTGACGTGTTGGTCAGTAACGCGTTGGTGGAGGTATCTGAACGCAAAAAGTACACATTAAGCGTACAATAAGTCAAAAGTAAAGCATCAATGCAAATTGATCGGGCTACTTGCCAATCTTACCGACATTTGGCTAACTTCGATTTAAATTTTACATTTATCTGAGATAGCTGGGCAACTTTTTCCAGTTTTCATCGCCTCAGAAGTGTTTCTTGTATGTATCAGTGGCCAAGAGAGGAGACAGTTTGATGTTAAAATATTCCCACAAATGGACTTTTTATGATCCTAACGATATTGAACAAATGTTATAACACTAATTTTGTGTATTTACTGTGACCTTAATAAGTACGGAGTGTAAAAGAAAGTAGGTCCCAGATAAATGTCTGAAAGTTGGATTAGAAATACAGGATTATCCATTTATCAAATCGGTTTGTTGTTTTGGCTTGCGGAAATTCGTTTCCCATCGCAGTGACACAGAATACCTCGGTATTT